TGGCTATAATTGGTTTAACATAATCAGTTTGGGAGAGGAAAAAAAATTCAAACACTCAAACAAACTTTGAACTTTCGCTTCTCATCTTATTTTATGCTAATTAATCTGATTAACCCACATTGATTCCTTGTATTCCCTCTTACAAAAAAGGCATTTTGCTAAAAGAAAGTAGAATTTCTACTCACTAAACTTGCGAGAAGAGCATAATATGAGAAATTTCAACTTCAAACTTCCACATCTACTTCTGTCCACAGCTCAAGTCCTTTTAACTACCACATGGGAACAAAACATTGACGTACATATTAAAATCTTTGCACATTACCATATTTCCTGTCTGACCTTCCCATAGCTCAGTAGGGTACTCCATTATTCCAGCTTTGCCCTATGATTCTCTAGCTCCTTTTTCTCCTATTCCACCTCTGATGCGTCTTTCCCTGAGAGTTCTTGCCCGATGGGGTGTGAGCAGTAATTTGTCATGTCCCTCTAAGCGTAACCAAGACGAGATGGCAGCGGCCCTGGGGCACCACCTGAACCACCAGCACTTGTGCTTACTTACATAATGGAAGGTACCGAGGAGAAGAATGGAAATGGAAGAAAGCTCTAAAAAAAAAATCCAGGGAATATAAGAGAGAGAAGCTCACAGAGAACGTGCAACAAAAACTGTGAGACTTGCATTAATCATGACAATACCTTGGGAAGACAACCTCCATTACATCAGTGGAAGGAGGCAGCCTCTTGAAGGAAGATAAGACAGAGGTCTATGCCAGGGAAAATACCAGGACCATGATAGTTTATGGGCCAGAAGAAGGAATGGTTTGACGTCCTGGGAAAAGAAATTACCCATGACATGCATAGAGGACATTCAAGACTGTCGCTCTGGTTTTCAACAAGACTTCAGCTCATTTGAGAGATGCGTCATAGAAAAACATGAACCTTGCCCTAAACATGAGCGATTTACTGTTTCGGAGAAGACAGCATGGGAAAAAAGCTTTGATGGGATATTTAGGAATGAATAAATGCCATTCTGAATGGTAGATTTGGGAGAGATGATTTAATAGAAATGTATCACATAGGTTTACATAGGGTACGAATATCAATGGAAAATATTACTTATTTCAGAAAATTTATTCAAAACATGAAACTTATAATTTCATTATATAGTCATACAATTAGTTTCTCATTGATTAATGATTATAGTTCAGATCTCATGAAAACACAAATTTAAGCTCTCAAAAAATCTAATTTCATATACAAAGAGTAACGTTGAGTGCGAGTAATTTCATAAATAAGGACTAATGTTAAGATTTTAAATCACAGGGAATTCTCCATACTAGACAGTTGTCCAACACAAAGTCATAGAAATCTTCAACAAAAAGTAATTTACTAAAGAATCTGCCTGTTCAGAGAGGGAAAGTTGAGTGGTAGGAAAAAAATGCATGAGAACCAGTCAATGGCCTTGAGAAAATGATAAAATCCCAATCACACTTCCACTCCACTGACCAGATTTATGCAGGGTTCATATGCATTTTCCCATATTAAAATTCCATCCTTTTCCAGATAAAAAATTATCCAGTCCTGCGATTTTGATTATTTCAAAAATGGAACATTTAATATAATATTTCTCACATAGACATGTTTTATTGCTTTATGTACTGTAATATACACATATCAATTTCAACAGGCCCATATTTTGAAATAAAAAAAAAAAAAAAAACTTCTCAATGCTTCTCTTGAAAATTTTTATTTTCTAGGAAACTGGTTTTGAGCTTTCATGAGCTGTGAAACCCTGGTCATCAAAATGAAAATATTTATAGCGCTGACATAAAACACTGTGTGGAATGAATCTATACGTTATGCAAGTTTTAAGTTGAAATGTGGAATTAAATGAACCTTTCTATAATATTCTAACTCATTGAGATGCACCTTTATATACACATTGAAACTGAACTCGAGCCTTTCTGCATAAATACTGTGTTGACAGCAACATCCCAGCAATCCGACAACACCTTGCATCTAATCTGTGAACAAACCGTCCTTGCAAGACGATGAGCATGAAAACCAATTACGTGAGGGAAGAACATAAAAGAGAAAAAATGCAAATTGATCGATAAAAGCCCCTCGTGTGGGCAAAAAGGACTGTGGCCGGCCAAGCTGTGCCTCAGAGCCATGCTGCAGAAAAAGCTTGAGAGCTCTGCTGTGGGCGATAAAACAAAGAGGACCACACTCAACAGTCTGCAACATCTTCACACATCACAGCCTCGCACATCTGCACTCACTGGGTTTATGTCAACTGCATTTTGCTCTTCTCTCCTTCCACTTTTTCCTGCATTTCTTCCACTCCCTGGATTATCCATTTACTTATTTATCGCGCTCCCAAAACAACAACACAGCATCAGCACTTAAGATCTCATCCGTTACCATGAGAAATATCACACTTGCCAGACTGGCTGTAGTGCGTCTGTGGGAAAGTGGAAAATTTCTCATCTTGCTGCAGCGGTATTCCACGAGGAGTTCTGGGAATGTAGTGCTGCTGAAGGTCGACTGTGTGCACCAACCCACATGCTGGCCAGATCTCATTTGAAGGAAACGGTGTCTTGGGGATAGTTTAGCAAAAAGAGTGCTGGGCGGACAGCTGAGTTAAACAAACAGATCAATACTTTCACCAATCAGCTGTAGGCACCTTATTTATACGCCGCAAATATCATTGCAACCAAAAGCAGATCGCTGTAGGTGAGGAACTGGTTTGTTTATTAGCCCATGCAGCAATAAAAAATATCATAGATCTGCACTTAGAACTATATTAGGTCGATTAATCTTATCCTCTCGACCCCCCACCCCCCATCAACCACGCACATTCCTAACACTATTGTTTTGTCCGCTTTGTCATTCATGAATCAAGGCCATCTAAGCCACTCCCCTCCTGTGATACATGTCCTCTACAGAGAGGAAAGAAAGACATGCAAAGACAGGATAGCAGCTGTGAGTTTTAGTCTCCTGCTGACTGATTAAGATGATGCTCTGGGGATGGTCAGTTTTGGCATGACGAGTAAACCTGCTCCTCTGGCCTCTGGACCAGCATATAAACAAATTAAAAAAATAAAAATAAAAAATTCTCTGATTTAAAGGTCGGTGCTGCTGATTTAATCTTTAAACCTAAGGGTAGCAGACATTTCTTCTGTATAAACTAGACGGCCCTCCCCAGTTGTGCAGTGAGTCTGATTAGAAATATCACGAGTTTATATCTTTGTCACTTCTTATGTTGCAGCAGCAGCAGCAAAGCAGCACTGCAACATTATGAGTGCTCCAATTTAATGTAAGTATGTGATATATATGGCAATGGTTTGCAAAAGTATTTATACATCTTGAACTTTTTCACATTTTGTCAAATTACAAAGCACAGCCTCATAATGTAATTTATTGGGAATGCGATGCAAAAACACATTGAACATTATCGACATAATTTAATATTGTCGACTTAAAATTGTTGAACATGTTGACCGCCGAGCTTATCTTCTAACCTTGCAAGTACATATTTCCTGCCAGTTATTTCAGAAAGCAAAACTCAGTATGACATATTCCAAGCTTTTGTTTCTTGTCATTTTGCTTAATACAGCTTACATATTAATCAACTCAAAAGTGTCATTGAAAAATTATACTAATGTCAAAAAAGTCATTAATGGTAACTTGTGGTGTTACAAGCTAATCAGCTAATTAACTCATAACACCTGGAAAGGTTAATTGAGTTCACTGGGTCGATAGGCAACACCTATGAGGAAGACTGTTGACTTGACACCCTTATATACTTTTCAGAAGCCGGACATGATAAAAACATCGATTTTTGATTAGTTTAATCTGATATAAAATTTTCTGAGAAACTGGATTTGAGTTAGAAACAAATTCTGTCAGGAATTTTGGCACCACACCAGCCAAAACAGAAATGTTAAATCATGTTGCTCAGTTTCATTAGCAAACCCTTGCCTATCATCTCAGAGTTCTCCAATCTCCTTCATATTGCCCGCAAAACAATTTTTCATAATGACTGTGAACCCAGTTGATTCATGACATGATGCTAGTTGCACCAAACAGAGCTCAGGGGGGAAAACACGTTGCTGTGATCGTTCACTAATTTAATTAATTACTTAATTTCCCTTTGAGAACAATAAAGTATTTTTGAATTGAATAAAGGTTGGAGGAGTAGTTTGTGAGATACAAATGTGAACTCACACGGTTGCTGCACTACAAGCCGGGCTCCAGAAAAAAACTCCACCCCCTCATTTGAATATAGGAAATTGAAATAAAGAAAACACGGAATAAAATTGTTTAAAAAAAATAAAGTCCCTAACTAAATTAGCTTTACAAATTGTCACAAAATTAAAAAAAGAAAAACATGAAATGAATGATCACATGACTGACAAAATAAGCTCCTCATTTAATAATATTTCTATATTGTTTTGTTTTCATGAGGAGATCCATTTATTTATAACTATTTATTTATAACTTATATTTAATTTTGAAGACTCCCCATACATTTTTCGAATTTTAAAAGCACATAAAGATTTATTTATTTATGTGCTAAAATCTGATGTTTCCCTTAACACTGTTTTTCCAAATACGTAGTGCCAATAAAACACCGGATAACGAAAGTTAATTTCCACATAACCGAGTTCTAGGACTGAATTTAGCTTACTAGTGGTGATTTTATTTATTTGTTTTTTTTTTTTTAATACAAAAATGTTAAACCGGATTAAAAGTTGAACATTAATAAGCAGCAACGTCCGCCGTTCGGTAAAAGGTTGTAGAAACGGTTAAACTAAAGCAGCAGTTAATCGGTTTGAGACGCGGCTCACGCACTGCGTGTAGTGATTAGGGCGCATTGCTGTGTAATCACTGATGAAGTTGTGAGGCAGACCACGCTCCCTCTCTTTCATACACACACATACACACACCGGTGAGGGGGGAGGGAGAGGGAGAGAGAGACGGAGAGAGAGAGAGAGAGAGAGAGAGAGAGTCGCGCTAGGAGAGAAGAGGCGGCGGAGGCGCTACGGTCACTTTCTCACAGGCTCCGGTCGAGCCTGTGTGGTCTCTCCCCGCGCTGTTGCTAAGGAAATGGATGGCTTGAATGGATCGGTGGTCCGGACTGAGCCGTCCTCCTCGCCCCCTCACCTCAGCAGCCTGCCGTGTTTCAGTGCGTGTTTACGGGAATTACTGCTAAAAACGTGACGCGTCCGCTCCAGCTCTGCACCAGCCGGGGTAAGAAATTATTTTAACATCGCATCATCGGATTTAAAAAAAAATAAAAAAAAATAGAAAAAAAAACAAAGAACAGAGGATTTTTTTTATTAACAATACAAACAAAAATTATTTCCTCCTAAATAAAATAAGACATGTATATTCAGCTTACTTATTGTGACACCTCACCTTGAGGAAAACTGGTTTTCAGAGAATAAAGTATAAATCGTACAGCTAGATGAGGTGAGGACACTGCAGCTTTAAGTCCAGATAGCTGTTGCAATGCAAATACCACAACTCCTTCCTCACTCTCCAGACTATGTGGCTGTTAAAGATTAGGAGAAGAGAAAGCGCAGCAGAGTCCAGTGTTTTGATTACCTACTGTCAGCCAGAGTCAGCGTCTTCCACCTTAGAGCCATGCTCTCCTTTGTTTGCAGCCTCTGCATGTGTGAGGTGAATAAGATGAGAAATAAGATATAGTGCAAGTCAGTTCCTCATTTTGCTCTCTCTACCCCAGTCCAGTGGAGCTGTGGCTGGAGAAGAGAGGTTAAGAAAGGCAGAGGGGTCGACGAGCCTGGCTGGCGCCGGGTGGATGCTGCCTGAAGACGAGAACGGCTGAGGCGGCAGCACTGACTCAGAAGAGGAGCATGGCATCCACTGGCATGCAGATATTTGGATTTGTCCTGGCACTGCTGGGCATTATGGGGGCCACTGTGGCTACCCTGCTGCCCAACTGGAAGGTCAGCGCGGATGTGGGCTCCAACATCATCACGGCCATCTCCCAGATGCAGGGGCTGTGGATGGACTGCACCTGGTACAGCACCGGCATGTTCAGCTGCACGCTCAAGTACTCGGTGCTCTCCCTTCCTGCGTACTTGCAGACTGCACGCACCACCATGGTGCTCTGCTGCGTGCTGGCCGCCATGGGCCTCTGCCTTGCCTCTCTGGGGCTGAAATGCACACGCTGGGGAGGCGGACGCCGTTCCAAGCGACACGCCGCCATCGCCAGCGGCGGCTGCTTCGTCACTGCTGGCTTTCTCTGTCTGGTGCCCGCTTCTTGGTTTACCAAGGAGGTCATCACAAACTTCTTGGACTCCAGCGTGCCCGAGAGCAATAAGTTTGAGCCCGGGGGTGCCGTGTACGTGGCCTTTGTTTCAGCAGGCTTCCTTTTTGTCGGAGGGTCCATATTCTGCATGTCCTGCCCGGGGAAGAGACACGGCCCTCAGGACCTGGTTCTGCTTCCTCCGCCGGACAAACTGCTGCTCCAGCAGCAGCAGCAACAGCTGCTCCAGCAGCAGCAGGAGCTCCAGCACCAGTACTGCTCTCTCTCCCCTTTAGACAACAAGACTGGCTACAGCCTGCAGGACTATGTGTAATAAAGCAGCAGCTATAGGGAGGCAAGCCTGAGGGAGAAAACCGTCACAGTTAAATCCGTACGTCGGGCCGTACTGAAAGCTGCGAGAGGAGGGAAACAACTTTGAATTCATTTTTGTCTCCTTTTTGTCTGTTTTGCAAGCACAAGCGGTGGAGGTATTCCCTGAGCAGCGCCTTCGTAGGAAACAGCGCAAATGTGAAAGGAGGCAGGATCCATGCTGCAGAATGGAAGGAAGCTCCCAACAAAATGCAGATTGTTCATCAGTAAATCACAGAAAGCGCTCCCGGGATACGGATTACGCAAATAAGAAAGTCGTCTGTGTAGATTTTCGCCCCCCCCCTCCTCACCAAAGCTTTAAATAGAAATAAGCAATCATTTAGCTGCTATTTACAATCATTCATAATGATCTACCCTCCCCCCCACCCGCTTTATTTGACTAAATAGGCAATATAAACACCAGAGAGCCAAAAGTAAAACCCCTTCCATAGCAAGCCATTTTATTTTATTTTTTTAGTATACATATCTCCTAGAATGCAACCTTGAATTGATGGAAATTAAAAAAGGTAATATTTTTGTTAGTTACTAGAAGGATGTTGATATTTTTTGCCTCTAAAGCATGCCGTGTGGAGCCTGTTTGCGTATTAAAACGTTGGAATGCCTGGTAGAGCGACTGAACCACACAATGCCTGTGCCTGAAAACAAAGCTGTAGAAACATTAACCCTGCTGGAAGTGTTCAAAGAGGACTGTCAGGAGCAGAGGATGTGGGGCTGCTGGCTGCGTCCAACAAAGACGGGACGGACAGACAGATGGCCGCACATCACTCTGCAGGTGGAGATACGGCAGAAAGGGAGAGAAATTTTGCAGGAAAAACGTCTAATCGCTTCAGATGAATGGACGTTTTCATGTTTCCCGACCAGACACAATCGACCTGTGCAGCCCGTCTTTTGCAACAATCCATTGTAGACGTTTACACCCACACCACATGCATGATTTTTGTGCGCTTTTTTTGTGTGCATCGTAAACATTCAGAGGCTTTTCACATGTGCTTTTCACTCGTCAACCGCCTCTTCACTGCCATGGAGACAGGTTTCCCGTTTAAACATCTTTATTATCTGTCAGTCACAGAAGTTCTTTTAGACAGGGGCATCCTTTCATGCAGTCAAATCCTCCTGCTTTCAGTTTCTTCAGATGAATCTCTGTGCAGAAGCTTTCAGAAGACTTTCTTCCTTGTGACATTTTTTTTTTTTTTTACCATTCCCTCATCATATCAGCATTTAATGGTCCAGCATCGCAGGAAAACGCTTGAAGATAACGAGAGGCTCCTTGAGTCAAGTGGATAGCCATGTGGCAGACGACTAAAAAAGCTTTGAGTCATTCTCCATATGTGACTTGTTTTCCAAGTGCGTCAGCAGCGAGGCGCATATGTTACCAGTCTTCACCTGCAGAAGCTCTCGGTCTTAAATTGCGTCCACTTCACTGTCCCACTAGTCCCACTGTTCCTCGCACTCCTACCAGTCGCTCCTGTTTTCTTTTTCTTTTTTTCTTTTCCTCCTTTCCAACTCATTCACCCTGGCCTGTTTGTGTCAGCCGTCACATGGATGTGATCCCTGACGAGAGAACGCTGATGCATGCTGAAAGCGTGTCCTCCTCAAACGCACATCCACACCAGGCACACACGCTTCTCCCACCAAATTGCCACCCACACGTACCTACTCATGTGTCATTTGCAGGGCTACGCTTTCGTGGTTACATTTCAGGGCGAGTCTACACTTTGACTCTGAGCACAGGAATATTGTGTTTTGTGCATGGTGCAGGCAGGGATGTATAGAACTGCACATTCTCTCCTTTTCTCTCATAAGCATGCAGCTTCCTGGGGAAGTGCAGATGGCTGAGCGCAGCCTGCCACCTGCAGGCGGCTGCCAGCACACCACGGGCTCCTCAGCGGGCGCCGCTGGCAACCTCGGCAGCCCTGCAGGGCTCGAACTGGCACGTGTCAGAGCTGGCCACCTGACAGTAACACACTGCCCAGGCACCACTACTGATAAATGCAATAAAACTAGTAAAGAATGTGCCATGTCATCAGCTAATACTGACACATTATGTGTTTGAGAATGTGCCAAATTGTCTCATGATGACAAATTTTAATATCTGGAATTTTTCTGTTTATTTTTCTATGAATTTTACATTTTAAAATGTTTTATGGATTTGAGATTTGTTCTGCCAGACTAGATGCTTGTGTACAGTCCTTTGCAGCTTTCGAGGGTTATTTTATTCCTCGTTCCCCTCAAAGCACAGCAAGACTCCACGGTGTCTTGTAAAAGTATTCCTACCCCTTTAACTGCAACCACAAATTTCTAAGTATTTTACTGGGCTTTTATGTAATAAGAGTAAATAGAATCATTATGAGTGATGATTCCTAAGGATTATCATTCCTAATGGCGATCATTAGGAATGATAATCATCATGATCATTTTTCCTAATGATCATGTTGTGCTTCTGCACAACATGCAGATGTTGTGTGAGGTTTATCTTTATGTGAGACCAAGGAACTCACGTAGGTATAACGGAGCACTTTTGACAACCTAAGCTTTGAATGTCTCAGAGTAACATTCAGTCCATTATCTCAAAATGGAAAAATATGGAACGACTGTGACTGCAGTCTGCCAAGAAATGGTGCACCAGTCTAGCTGGCTGGGTAAGGAAAGCAGCGCTGCAAAGTCCTGAGTCAAAACCACGTGCAATTTCACAACTGCATAGAGCTGCTGCTGCAATATTTTGGAGTTTTGGAATAATGTAATTGATATTGTCAATCGTAATATTCAACAATAGTAGCACCCTTGCATCGTTTCCTGTTTTCCTGTTAGCATTAATCAGAAAAGCAGCCAAGAGGCCCATCCATTCCATTGAGAGTAATCTACAGACGCCTGAAGAAAGCCATTAGAAATTCTGTTTGCAGTGTGTTTAAACTGTTTTTATATGTAGAACATGTTTCAAACCCATGCACCCTTCCTAATCATGTTCCACTTTGTTTAGCACAAGATTCAATGCATGGAGGTTTCTGGTGAAATGTAAGACAAAGAAAAGATAAGATGCTCATAGGGCATGAATACTTTCTCAAGGCACTCCAAGTGTGGGGCTTTAAAAATGTATTTATATCAGGAAATATGATTCCGTGTTGGTCTGTGACGACTGTACACAAGTGTCTGTGACTTTAACGGTGTTTTGTTTGTTTATTAGGAGGATTTGTCATCCTTCAGATTGTTTCAGTCGAAGATAAAATACCACGTTCATGCCATATCTTCTTTATAAGAAGACTACTCAGTGCACTTTTTATTTGTGTTTCTATTCGACAGCAGTTTGGTTCAAATGAATGAGCATTCCAGGCTCTCTGGACCAGTATCAATACATAACACAAGTGGGCACTCTGGACAAAAAAAAAAAAAAAAAGAGAGCAATTTCTGACTGATGGGATTCAGCAGGGAAATACCAGTTAGAGATATTTTTAGTGGCTGTGCAGCTTAATCATCAGCACGCAATTTTATTTGCTTATAAATGGCCAGAGTGCAATGTGACTAGGTCCTTAAAGTCTACAGAGTTACAACTCTCTGCTTATACTGTACCGAGATGTTGGATTTATTACTTTGATAACTGCAGCTTATTTTTGTGAATGCTTTAGCACTTCTTACTTTGCCAGAGCCTATTTGTGATGAGCAGTTCACAAGTTCTGATACAGTTGTCTCAATGTGCTTGTGCAAGTAGTTCTATTTTTTACCAATAAAACTATTTTGTGAAAGCATACAGCTTTGGTATTATCTGTGTTTTTGATTTAGAAGCGCTCAGCTTCTCCCAAGCCAGGAAGATTGCTTGCAGGATGCTCCAGCCTATTCTGACAGGAAACAGGAAGCCGTTTTTTTTTTTTTTTTTTTTTTTTTTTACAAATGCAGCATCAAAGAAATAACTACACCATAAATTTAAATTCAGAGGCGTCCATAAAATGCAACTGCGCACGAAAAGCTTTTTAAAGAAAAGATTTATCTAATATAATTCCCAAAAGCATTTCCTGCTACTGTTTGATTAAATGAGGGCATTAACTAATACAAAAGTGAAACATTAAGACCCCCAAAATTAATGACTTTATCAATAACATGCAAGTCATGATAAGAAGGGCAATACCATTGTTTCTTTTTAAATGACAAATGTAACTCCGTCTGTCCCATTTTGTATTAGTGCCAGTCGGGCAGCTCCTGCAATTTTGCCTCAAGATATTTAATAAATACAGTCCTTAATTTGAGATTTTATATCATCGTCATTTAATGGCACAGCAGCTGCAGCATATAAAAGACACGCATTTATGACCATTTCTACTGAATAGTAGGCAATCAGAAACTATAAAAAAGGCAAATTCCTATTTTACAGCTACTAAGCAGAAAGAGGCTGTTATTTTCCAGAGTTTAAAGAAACTGGGTTAAGAAATCAAATATTTTTTGGTCTTTGTACACAGTTTGCATGTTCCTCTACTGCATGCGAGTTTTCTGCATACAGTCTTACTTTTCCTCTTTTTTTTCCAATTAATATTAAAAATAGAAAACTAAGCATTGTTCCTAATAATATTTTATTAGCACTACTAGTAATAATACATCTCTCTCTGTGGGTCTATCACAAGCAATGAAAGAAGCATGAGAAATTTTAAAATAAAATGCACACATTTCAAAACTTATATTTTCTCTATCTTTAACAATATTCATCCAATTCTTAGGAAATTGTTTCTGAATATCAATTTTGTTTGTATCCTACTTAAAGACTCAGTAACAAAGGTAATATTGAAAACGCCCCCCCCAAAAATATTCATATGAACACAAACTTTACTGGGTATCATCAAGCAATATAGGTTAATATTCTTTTGGTGTGTTTTTAGAGAAAGATAGGACTAAAAACACGAGGCAAAAATGCTAAAATATTTCTTTGAATGAGTAAAGTGTATAACCGATGAGGCATTAAAATAACTTGAGACATGCAGACTTTGATTTTTAATTCCTCTGTCCTGCAGCCGGTGGAGCCTCTATTAAATTAGTTAGAATCTGGACATTTCATTAAAACTGATTGGAGTCTCCTCATTACTCGCCAAGTGAGGAAAATACCATGGATTATTAAAGGATCTCTTTCTCATGCACCCACTCCTCTTCGTTACGCAACAAGACTGTGCATCAAATATCTGCTCCTCGTGTGGGGAAGCGCTAATAGGATCTGCTTCTCTGTGTATTTAACCTACATTTCTCATCAAAGGGTTTCACCCAGAGTTGTCACTACGAAAGATTTGGGAAGGTGGTTTTAGACGAGAGAGCGAGAGAATGCGAGCGCTCCTCTGCACCACGCACGGGTTAATTAGGATACAGCCTTCAGCTCGAGGTCTTCTTCCATGTTAACATTCAGATTACTTGGGCGACCTTTCTGACTCAGTCAACAGTCGGCCCACCATAAGAAAAAAGAAAGAAAAGAAGACTATTTGGCATTAATGTGACAAAAGCGAGTGGAAGTGGCACTTAAAACACACCCCAATTCCTAAAAATAAACTGAGCACCGAATGGCAGCAGTACGTCGCCAACCTTAATGTGCGTCTTTTTGTTCTGGTGAGGCGGTTATGCTCATGAATGTTCGCACCGGAGGCATAAAGCCGCCATCGGCGCTGAGGGGGAAATGACCTTCCATTGTCAGAGCAGCTCTGTTGTGGTCCCGACGTTCACACGAGGCTGCTGGAATAATAGCAACGACCTTGGCTGAGCAGTAAACTGCTGACAAAGGCAGTAAAAAGCTACGGGGATGACAAAAGCAGAGCTCGTAGGAAAACAATACAGGCTGACAGTTCAAAGAAGGCCTTTCAATATCTCCGCTTTGAGCCCCGGGCAGTGAGCGCGGCTGTGAGGATTTCTGCAAGATGAAGGAGGAGGCGGCTAAACGCTTGAAAGGTGTAGAAGGCTTCACCATTTTCTAATCAATTTCATTAATGATGCTGATCAATGTAAAGATCATGCACTGCTTAAATTAAGTTTGGAAGAGAAACTCAATCGGATTCCCACCAGATCCACTCATCCTTAGTGCATCGTTGCTCATAGAATTAAGGGATTTTATGATTTAATTCAGGTTTCAGCACATGGGTTCAGCATTTAGGAGTTCTGTTTTGGTTGCCGTAGTCGTGTGAAGTTTGGGATCGCACCATTACTTTATACAGACAATGTCCTTCAGAGGGGGTCTTCACGCCGTGACCTTCAGCAGTCGGCATTCGAGGGGATGAGAGTCAGCTCCACTAAGGCCCAGACAGAGTTTACCTGCTCCGTTTAGGTCACGGTTCAGTCTCTGCTTCAAGCAGAGCTGATTTATGCTGGTGTCTCGTTCTTGACTTAAAGATCAAGATTCCGGACAAAAAAATGGTTGAAATGACACTGGTCTCAACCCAGTAAAAGTCGAGTCACTGCTGTCAAATGGAGCCAACAGGTGTTTCAAGCACCTGATTTTGCTGAAACACATTCAGCTTGCCTGTATTAACAGGAAAAAAAAATTGTCAAGTGCTGTTTATGCATTTTTTTTTTTAATTATTTGATGTTTCCTGGAGAAAAACCTCTGGAGGTGATCTGAGCACATCCCACTGGGAGGTACGTTGGCCGACAGGTGCAAACAGCAGATTTGCTGCATTTCCTTCTGGTTTCCATTTTCTGTGTTTGCAGCTTTTTTCTATTGTACTTGTGTTTTTGTGCTTTAGACTTTGCACCATTCAAGCGTTTGCAGCGCACCAAACTCAGTGCTGTGACTGTATTTCCCTTCTTGTGTGGGAAGGCATTGGGGATCCCACAGAATGAGATAAAAAAATGTTTCTGGGCAGAGGGATTTTTTTTTTTTTTTAACTAGTACCTGCTTATTTTACGCACTTCATTTCCTAAAGCGTTTTTAAGCACTGCGCTGCTCATTTGCAGCTTTATAAATCTTCTACATGCTTGCATCCTGCATGATCAATAACTACACAGAGCTTAATATCCTAAACTGAGCACTAACTCGGATCAAACTGCATGGTTCATTAGGAGCAGCGTCTCTGGAGAGGTGATAAACCAGCTATGCCAACCTTTGCATTTTGTTTCAGAAGAGAAGTGGAGGAGGCCAAGTATTTTTAGGTCTAGTTTACCCTTGGTCTAGAATGACTTAAGACGCTCTCTTCTGGCATTTTCCCCTCTGGTACTAGTGATTGAAACATTTTTTCCTCAATTCTCTGGAGGAAAGATTCATTTGACTCCGTTTATGAGATATGAATAGAAGTAGACGAATAGTGCGTGAGGAGGAGACTAGAAAGCAGTTCAGTTCCTCAGAGTCAATTTTCACCTCTGCTGCTCCTGCTGGTGGGCTGCAAAAGGTCGCACAGAAGAGATCCATCACTGTGAGTGAGTTTTACCGGACTGAGCTAGATTGGATTCAGCAACACAAAAGCGTGTCCTCCGATTCGGGATAAAATTTAAACAGGAAAACAAACACTAAAGCTGCAGACGGATATGCGGGATTTTGCAGAGACTCAAACTCTCCCTGTTATTACATTACAGACGCTCAATGCAATTTAATCAAGCTCAGCTCATCTGGCCTGTGCTCTTGGTAAACGACTGCGTACAAGGCCAACATCTGCAGGGCTCTCCTCTTGTTAGCTGGTGGGTGATGGCTGATGCAGCCATTATTCAGAGACATGCAGACAACCATCTGCTAGAGGTACGCCTCACTTTCCCTTCAGATCCGTCTCTGTCACCAATCTGTCTTTTGTTGCTCTGTACTGGCGTGGATGAAGAAGCACTTTTCCTTTTTCCTGGATTTGTTTTGTCACATACATCACATGTAAGTAATTTCCATCCCTGCATTCTTTCAACTCAAACAACCTCCTTTTTCCACAATTATTTTTAAACTTGCAAACCTTAATACATGATACTGGGACTGTAGGTGAAAGACAAAAAAAAAAGTTTGAACAATCACTAAGTGGAAGGAACTATTGGAGCTACATGCAAAGGTTTCGTGTGGAATTAAACTAACACTGTACATCACCCTAACCCACCTTTCAGATTGTGAAAAGTGGTGGTGGCAGGATCATTCTGTGGGAATGCTTTTCTGATGCAGGGACGGTAAAGCTAATCTTCCCACAGGTCAACAAAGATAAACATACACAGACGCCCTCCATCAAACGTGACTGAGCTGCAGTTATTTTGCATACAGGACTGGGCAGATATTTCTAAACGTTTGACACTAGATTTGTCTAGAAGCTTATTTTATTTAGGAACATTAAAGTAAAACAGGATGAAATGCATATGTATACTTCATGCTTTCTGAAAAAAAAAAAATCTTTTATGCCCTATCATGGACTAGCAAACTTTACCTATCGCACCGTTTACCTTCATTGTAATGTTTCCTGTTGAAGTTTTATTATGTAAAGCACTTTGAATTTCCTGGTTGCTGAAATGTGATTTACAAAGAAGCTAGCTTACTTTCTCACCATCTACAACGAATACCCATCTACACAATATTTAGTCCCAGCAACAGCAGGTTCTGTAACTTTGTCATTTCGATACCTTTATTTTCCAATTCTACCAACAAGCAAAGAAGCCGGCGATGTATTTATAGACGGGCACATTGAGACATAATCAAATCTTTCCTGGAGGATGATTCTGCATGGCTGGGTGTTCACACTCAAGATGAAAATGCCTGATGGCAGTATGCACTCAAAACCTCCTTGACCTCTCACATGATTATAAATTTCACATGACGAATTAAGTAAAGTCTGAAAAACAGCTCTTCCTATGAGATATAAAGAAAAAAAAAGTTCAATATAAGCATATAAAATTCAGGTAAGTGCTCATATACGTCGGAGTGAAAATTAAAAGAAGCAGAGTAACTTAATAGAAGTAGGAGGGTGAGATTATGGGAAGAAGTAGAACTTCAAGGCAATTTAAGCAACATCAAAGTAGCCATTCGATGCTCCCTGGAAAACGTCAAGGGCGTTCTCTGTCACTCAATGTGACACAAGGAGCACGCGGCACTCTGGGGCAGAAGGGACAAATTAAGCAGACAGGATAAGAGCCGATCTCCTCAACCCTCATCAGTACAGACCCAGCAGTGGCTGATGTAAAATAGATGCAACATTTCCCTGTCTCATTAGGCGGAGCTGGTCAGCTCCTCCACATTCTAATCAATCGGCCAATCAAACGACAACCGTCCTCTTTCCCTCCTTCAGCTCAAGCTATTTTCCCCCCCACCAGGCTGTCATTCAGCAGCTTTTTCAGCAACTCAATGTGACTCATTGTTTATTTCATTATGCAGCACTGAATCACTTCAAAGGTTTTTAATCACACTTTCCACATAGCCATGCATGCACCATGTCACCTTATATGGCTTATTTCATAAGAGTCCTATTCAAAGATTGTTTCTGGTGACTGCAGCGGAGGAGGTCAGAGACTGAAGGCCGGAACGAGGGACAAAATGTTAAAAATATGCAGAAGCCTCTCAATAAATTTGAGTTTCTTGCAGTTCTCTGGTTTTTCTGTAGGACAGAGGAATTTTTATCTTTGTCCAAGCTAGATTAATTTTGGCAGAACTACCCGTGCTTACACTCATCCAAGTTAGAACTGCTGGTGACAGGTGAAGTGCAGTGAACCATAAAAACAGTAGTACCAGTGTATGATTCAACACCAGCTGAAGGCTACGACTGACGTAAATTAAAAAGTACCTTTATATGCCTTTTTTTTTCCCTTTCACTCAACTTTACATACAGCAATGTAAGAACAACCAGCTGACCTCCTGAGGCTTGCTGTCTTATAGATGTCATAATATATTTATGTGTTAAAGCCCTCTTTGTTGGTCTTCTTCAACATTTTTTAGATACTGGACTGGGATTCAGAAAGCTGCAACCCACGTTCTTCAAAATGAACAGATATCTGAACTTTCTGAATTGAATTACAGAAATGAACGAACTTTTAATTAATATTTTAATTTATTTAATCTGTATGACTGGCCTGACATGAACATAAAGGGCAGACATAACTAACACAAAGCTTGAACTCATGACAATTAAATTACAAGGAAAGGGAAAACCTTGGTAATTGTGCTTTGGTTTGCATAAATTCCTCTTCATTAACACAGTCAGTGATCCCTGTGTTTCCGTTGGAGAGAGATAATACAACATAAAAACATAAAAAAACAAACATAAAAAAAAACAAATAAAAAATAACGTCATGCTTGATCTTTTATAGGGCATAAGCAGCAGGAATCTGCTCATCAAAGAGCGGTCATCTGGTCTAACGATATTAATTCGACCATTAAAACACTTATCAGGAATAGACAGCCTGGAACACGCAAGGTGCTGATTTAGCAGTGGCAACGATGAATGTTTAGTAACCATCCCATAGTGAGGAAAACTCAGTAAGAGTTTGAGATTTTCTTGCCTTTCACATAGATAATGAAAAAAACCAGTTATACTGCAGTGGCTCATCTGTGTAACCTCTGGGTATTAAATTAAGTTTAATGGCAAAAATATTCTAAAAAGCAGCCAATTTGTTTTATAAATTAATGTTTGAGTTAACCAAAGCAGTAGGATCCAAAACATGAAATGCATTGGCCTTCCTGAAGCAACAAAAGATCAACTATCAGATTATCATGAATACCAAATAGTGCTTTAAAGTCCTTTGCTTTTTAAAAGTCCAAAGGTTCTCTTTAAATGTGGATCAGTCTCCATCCTGTTGTCATGCTGTGAACAGATGCTATCTTTGCTGTCAAGAGAGCAAAAGTTTTGATCTTCAATAAGTTTTTTCTCCAAGAGTTGAAAATTTACACATGGATATGAAAAAGAAATGAATTCAAATATAATTTGATTTTAGTCAAAACATAAAAAAAAAAAACTAAACAAAAGGATTTAAAATCATATGTGCACTGTTCATCATGGGAGAGTCAACATGTAACCCTGAGTAAATATTTCAAAGTGCCAACAAGCGTGATCCAGTACCGCTAAGCTGCAGTTTGACAAACAGGGAAAAATGAGATGCTCAAGAGAGAACAAACGGGGAAACGAGACAGCAGAGGGTGATGAAATAATCATTGGAATCTCTTCTAAGAGAATGAACAATCAGTGCGGCGCCCGTACACTCTGCTGCGTTTTACTCTTTGCGGGAGATTAAATATTTACCTTGAGTAGGACTCCTAAAGAACTTCCCCGTCTTTAAGGGACCACCTGACACCTATCTGCTTGATCCAAGACAATACATATGTGGTTTCACTTGTGCCAAGTCTTTTCTACATCATTTGCATTAATGTTGATGAGCCCCCTGGAGTCTTTCTAAAGACTTTTGTCTAGGATTCAAAATATCTCTCTGAAGAACTCCTTATTCACCAACATGAAGGCTTGTATTTTCTTAATGGATTCACTGGTCCTAAAAAAAAAAAAAACCTCTGCCACTGATTAAAAGAAAAAGTCTCATGTTACATAAGCCATATCGTCTTTCTTTTGCCACTGAGACATCTGTGTGGGTGAAAAGATAAAGACAGAGATATTGGGCCTAAAAAAAGAACAAGGCTCTCATTACATGGAACAGGGAGATTGTGCCACATCTCAAATACCCACCAGGCATCATTACAACTCAGAAAGCGTCCAGAGACGGAAGAGAGAAAACACTGATTTAAAACCGAATGAGGCCCAAAAGAAAGGAGAGAGAAAGGAGAAGAGTAATGGGGATGAGATGAGGGGCTCTGACGGGAATGTGGGTCCATATGAGCAGAACCAAGTGTCACCCGGGGGGAGAAATCTGCCAGCTGCCACCTCTCAGACAGTGATATACCAAAGACATTTTATTTTAGCTTCACCTTTAAATTATGCATGGGATCACAGATGCATATATGTAGCCAGACTGTTTTATCTGCCACACCTCAATCAGAACCAAAACCAAAAAAAGGTTTGTGCTGAATAGGGCTGCATGATGTTGAGAAAATATGACATGCATTATATTGCGGAACTGTGCGAGATAACAAAAAACAGATAATAACCAGATGATAAGTATCCCACTTATAAAATAAAATCTGAAATTTCCCTTGTAAGCACAAAGCCTGAGTGAAAAAGTTCTTTCTGACCAGCGTCTGCTGCTTTGTCAAAGTTAATTGTAGTTTTTTAATGACTTCGTTTTTATGTTGCATCAAATCACAAGGTTCACTAAATAAATTGAAGACATAGAGAGCCTGAATCTGTGCTATTTAAATAATGAGCCAGTACTTATTTCTGACCATCATATGCAAACTGAAGAGAGTGATATTGCAATGACACAACGTTTGAGATACATTGTGCAGCCAAAGCGCTCAGTAAGCAAATGAGGCCTTTTCTGATTACCGGATAAATTAAAAGTCCTACCTCTGGCTTGGGAACAAACGCTCGACCAGGGATGACGAAGCGCTTCTTGACGGTGCAGAGATACTGAGCCATGATGGACAGACGACTTCTCTGTCTGCTGCCGGTGCTGGCTGTCAACCTCTGGATGAAGGGAAAAAAAAACAAAAACAAGATGTTTCGGTAAAACATCTTGTTTTACCGAAACAAGATGTTTCAGCTTCTTTCTGAGTCAGAAAGAAGCTGGATGTTCACAGAGTTCTGTATCCGGACATCAGAGGCGTCTTACGTGGGCCACTTAGAAAAAAAAATAAAGGACTGGACTGTTTAGACTCTGCAGTCCAAAGGCAACTTCTCAGTTTAAAATAAAATGTAACCTAGTGATGTTGGTCTCCTGTATTATTAGATCCAAAAATTTGCAGAATCATTTACTAAGAAATTTTAGAAAGATTAAAGCTTCCTTCTTTTGAGAAGCTCTACAGAGTTGATTTTTTTTTTTTTCCAGAAGCAGACCAGGGATTCTCAGCAGATCAAAATTGTGCATAGAGACTGGATGCCAGGGGATCAAAGATGTGAGTTTTTCATGTTGCAGTTATCATTTTAAAATAGATTTATCAGGGACTCAAAGAGAATGCAAATGTGACAGCAATCTCAAAGTGCTAGATCAGCTACAAAAAAAAATGCATTTTGCAAAATTATAAATTAGGTTTGTTAAATTTGCTGAGATTGAATAAGGTTCAACCACTCAAGGATGTTCTGGAGAAATTTGAGACAAGGTAGCTTTCCTCTGCTGGTATGAACAAAAATGTTAAAATGGAAAAACAATAAATAAAAAAATAAATAAAATCATCCAAAGCCAAAGTGAAATATTTTGGCGCAAAGAAAATTGATCTTGAAGTTAAAAATCTGTTGATAATAGTCGCATTGTTATTTTTAATCTGTGTTTAAGTGATTTCTGACACCATGACAGGCAGCAGCATGTGTTCACCCACCTCTGCCACCTCTTTCTGGAACGTGAGGGTGAGTCGGGCACGTCCGAAGGTGAACGGCCCCGTCCTGTCCGCTATATTTTCCAGCCACTTGATAATAAGCGGGGTCGAGACACTGAATGGTAGGTTCCCAATGATGTGGAGGTTTGGTGGGTCTTTGACAGAACCAAACATTTAAGTCACACAAACATATTTCACCCAGAGTAATCTAACATCTGCTGTTATTTTATTTTATTTTTTTTTCTCTCACCTTCCTCCCAAGGCTTCGAGATAGCTGCTGGGAATCCTCGATCCATCCTGTAGGTGAGAATGTCTCCGTGAACGATCCTCAGCCGGCCTGCTGACGCCTCAGACAGCAGCTGGAGAAACAACATCTTTAATAACTAAATCTGCCATTCAAACAGTCCCTCTGTAAGCGGCCAACAAGTTTGTTTTAATTTACCTTCAGTCCAGGGATGAAGCGTGAATCTTTCTCCACAACTAGCACATCTGCCGCTTCTGCATTGAGAATGGAGCGGGTGAGACCACCGGGACCTGGACCCACCTCGCAGACGTGAGCACCCGTCAAACTGCCGGCCTGGCGAACTATCTTGTCTGAAAACATTAAAGGTAGCGATTCGGCAAACAAAAATTAAAACATATACACATTATGCTACCTCAGATGAGTTCAGCGCCTCCAAATGCAAACAATGCAGTCTCTAATCACGTCTTTATCATCTAAATTAAGATTGATGCTGCCCGGTGTTTCAATACTGGTAAGCTTCTGCCGGATGAAGAGAGACATTAATCTAACAATCACCTTGCCAGAGGACGAGAGAGCAGATCAGACCTGCACTGCATCACTTATAATCATATTATCGCCATAGCTCTCAAGAGTTGCAAAAAAAAAAATCCCTGAGCAAGTCCTCTCATTAGGAGAGCTCTGAGGCCAAAAGAACTGCAGTACATCAAATGATGAATCATGCCATAATTATTTCTAAAAATAAGGATTTAATTGCCATTTGAAATTAATAAATACAATGTCACGACTAAGCATTAAATAAAATCATAAAAATTTTGAGTCAGTATATGTGAAACTACATTTATTTCACACTTCCTGTGATGCAGTGGATATAAACTGTCACTGTTGTTTGTCAAACTCATCAGCACAATAACTCAACTTCAGACCAAATTGATGAAAGCATATGACAGACAATAAAGTCATTATGTGCAGCAGTATGCCAGCTTAAGTAATGACATACTGAACTAATGACGCTTCTTTTAATTAAAAAGGTATATATTTTTTAGGAATTACTAAACCTAGCTGAATGCAGCTTGAAATCACTGGCCTACAAGATCTCTTAAGGACGAAAAAAAACACAGATATAAATGTATTTTCTGACTCTGTTTAATTGCTTAATTACACACATTTAAGACATAATTGTCATTTCAAGTCCTCTATTCAGAAGACTTAGTGTCCTCTGGCAGAGGACTGCTACTTTTGCCTTACTTTAAGGTTGCTTCTGATGCCTTAAAATAAGGTAGTGTGTTATACATATAAGGTTGAAATCATCAGCAAAAACACACGTCACTGCCGGGATCTCATTCACTTTTACGTCATGTTACACTGAAAGACTAACCTGTAAGCTTTAAGTCCAGCAGAAAGTTCTGGGAAAGCTGCTTCTCTGCTCGCAGGTTGTACAGCTTTATCAGCTCACCTACAGTGGGCAGCGGAGGCAGGCGCAAAGATCCCACTTTCCTTGAAGCTGCCATTGTCCAAGTGAATACTAAAGCAATGAAATACAAACCTGATCAATTCGGAGGCGAACACACCAGATCAATTATGAGTCTGACCATGCACGTTGTAGATTAAAAATTATCTAATACACCCCCCAGTGGTGTAACAGAATATCACCTTCACAAAACAGAGCATTTTTTTTTTTACCCTACACCATGAGGTATGTTTAATGCGTGGCGAAATCCCCAACGGTACAACTTCATTTTGCACTACGTGAAACATATTTATGTGTACATTTTTCTAACGATAACTAATCAGTCAGGACGTGATGAATCAGCCAGACTGCTTGTTGACAGCTGACACACTCGTTAGCGGCTAATGTTAGCGTCTTAGTTCACATGCTGCTTACAGAGCCAGAGGGGGGTAGCTATTAATGTCGACGACACGAGTAGCAGTGTTTCTAATAACGGACATACGGTTGAAATATCACTACAAACAGAGTGGAATAAGGACATAATGGTGAAACAACTAAATTGTTTACCCACGTTTGTCCCCAGTGTCCCGTTTTTCTCCGGTGCATTTCCGAACACGTGATAGTGTTGCTATCCAATCAGCCAAAAGGAAGCAAATTTTTTAACCAATGAAATGATCGGTTTTGCCATGTCCTTCAAAATGTGTTCTCTGGTGATGTACTGTTGCCACCTCGCCACCAGAGGTCGACATTTCTTTCATTATTAGCTGGTATTTAATGTAATAAAACAGCCATTTTTTGTAACGTGGAGTCAACAACTACAAGTGATGGAATTAAATCAAAACGTTATTATATAAAAGAGTAGTTTTAAAATAAATGTAACAAAAATATGCAAATCATCCTCATAAACTATAACAGTAGTTGATGTGATTTGTTTTGTCACTAACAGACAGCCTTCTCTATTATAGGAATTGTAAGCTTTGGAACACATTACCATCTTATTTTAAGACCATTCATAGCTTAACTAGTTAAAGATTAACTAGAATCGTACTGATTTTTAAACATTGTAATTGTTTTAATTCAGTAATCATATTCAAATTAATAAGTATATTGTTTTATATTCCATTTCATCATTTTATTGTACTTACAGGTGATCTTAACTTTTCATCTAAATCAGCTGTTTTAAGTCCTTCTAGGGACAAGTTTCATCAATTAGCCATGGCTATATACACTAATGCAAGCTTTAGATTGTTTTGATTAAAGTTTCTTCTATCTGTCCCAATCGAACAAACAACATAAAAAAAACAATGTCTTCATTTAGAGTCAGAAGTTTAAAAGTTTAGGAATCCCTTGGAATATCAAGCCACCACATCTCTATTTTCCAGTATTTCCTCTCTCAGTTTCTCCTGACACAGATAACGCAAGGTTGGTAATCCCTAAATATACAACACAGAAGATAATTGCACCTGCTAACACCAGTGAAACTACATTTTTTACTGATTAGTTCTGGTTGTTCTTCTGTTTTGTGTGCCTAAGGCTCCAATGATGAGTATGGAATTGTATGTGAAGTGTTTGCCCATGTTCTGAAAACCAAAATAAAGTAAATATATATATTTTTTTAAATCAAATGTCTTAGTTTTATTTCGAAAGTACAAAAAGACATGGCTCTGATGTACTTCCATTATTATTTTTTGCAACTTGTAAAAAAATCTCAGAATGTAAAGTGTGGCCTAAGTATTTTTGTTAAGCTGGCTGATGCACAGCTGTTATTTGGACTGAGCCCAACAGCTGTGTGGTCTCCCCTCTTTGCTCCTGCTGGAAGTCTGAGCTCGGTTTGGAAATACCCGCCGCCTTCACTGTTTGGCAGATGACTGAGACTTTTGTGCCTTGCTGTGGCTGACCTTGGGACGGAGACTCCGACTCTGAACAGCGGAGACCGAAATAAGCACAGTGTCGGATCTGGTTGCTATGGCAACCCCATTAAGCCCATCGCAAATTACGATACGCACTAGAAAGCGTTAGAAAAAAATATTTCAAAACTGTAAAAATCTGTTTGAGTCACTTCCTCTGCGTGCGTCTGTAGCATGCATTCAACAAATGCAGGAAATGAGACGTAAGCAATTAACATTTCTGGGTTGGTAAGTCATTGCATAGTGAGACATCAGAGAAAAAAACAAAGACAGAAATGCAAAAGGGTATATAATTTCTGAGCCAAACAGACTTACATCAATAAACACAAAAACCACAAGAGACAAAACGCCCATATGCTCAGCCTGTTCATATTGCTATGATGATAATCACCTGCTGGGTCTCTGTTTTCCCCTTATTTAGCTGAATGTGTTATGGATGATTCAACAAGTTCAGCAGGGTTAAAAGACCCTGAAGTGAAACCAGATGTATGTGATTATGAATGTTCTGTTTACTATAGAAACTCCCAGCTAAATAGTGCTTTTCTACAACCACATAAATAACAAGGAGTTTGCATTCAAATTGCAGTGCAGTCATTACAGCAAATGAGATGCAGCTTACAGTATTTGGAAAGTTATACTTTGCTTTTATACAAGAGGTGATATAATTCTGCAATATAATGATATTGGGAAATGCTTAGATTATTAAAGGACATAATCGAAATCCGGGTCACGTTGGGAGACTTGTGATAAAAAGGAGTTTGAAAAATTGCATGATGTCATTATTATTGTTTTTTTTTTTTTTTCTTTTTCTGAATTCATGCACATCCATCAGCTTTGGACATGACAGCATTCCTGTGTTGGGAAAAGGAAACTCTAGACCTTAATTCCTTTGTCTGTAAATCTTTTTTTTAATGATTTTAAACATCCTTTGGCACATAAATGTAGCTGTGGTGCTTTAGCATTGAAATTCCTGTGGTGATGATTGTAATCCGGTGATACATGTTCCGTGGTATTTTTGTGGCTGTCTGAGATTTGTTGGTCTTTTTTATTTTTTACAATAAATCACCATGAGACAATTTAGGTCCCGTGGGACAGCTTGGAGCCTAAAACTTGGGTCTTATTGTGGAAAAATGAATGAAAGAAATATCTTAGTTTTATTACAGTATAAAATGAAAGGATTAGGGCCTGCTTTATTCTTTTTTGTCTTTGTTTTCTTGTCCATTTTGAAAAAAAAACTAATTCACTCACTCATTACCTCATTCAGGGAGAACACAGTGTTCAAATTAGTAATAATACAAATTCCTGTTTCTTTTTTGTCCGAGGTGGGTAAAAAACAAAACTCCTGAACCGACACAAACTTACAGCATTTTGCTATATTTCCCTCTAATTTCTTTTAAGTTTTTTTTTTCTTTTTTTTTTGTTGTTGTAATCTTTTAAGGAGTTCCTCTTTAATTCCTAAAGGTTTTTCTTTGGATTTAAGCTGATTTTTAATTTTCAAGTTCCTGGACATGATATCATTCTGGGCATGTGTCTAAACAGGAGGATAATGAAAAAGTGGTGGGTTGCATAAGCTGCATCAGGCCTAATAACTATCTACAGCAGATTAGTAATATCTGAAATTATCTACATTAAAACTAAGAAATTATTGGTCTTTTAGTTGATAGTTTAATGTTTCTAGGGTAGTTCTTCAAAAATAACTCCAATGAAGCCAAATCATTCAATACGGTTTTATTAACATGGGGTTGTATGAAAACCACAAAAAAATGTTATATACTTTTTCCTGGATTTATCCAAAGGAATAGGAATCAATAAGGCAATTTGTCAGCTGAGAGCTATAAATTACCAAATCACCTGATTTATAATAAATTCTCTGCTAAGATTTCATTTATATGTAAACACAACAATGGTTAATCACTCGAATTTAAGAACCTGTAAAATAATTTTCCTTTTTCAAGTCCAAACGGAGCACACACATCTTACTTTTTCTAGGTTTTCAGGAATAAAGATGACTTCTTTCAAATGTAAGAAGACTACACTAACAGCTGAGCATGGTAGGAGTATTGTCATTCGATGGAAGTGCAGTGGAAGTGGTCCATTTCATGCAGTGTAAAGAACAATAGAGAGGAAGAAGTACCTCCAAATTCTCAAACTCTACATCTCAAATAAACAACTGGTTGAAACATGAAGTCTGCTGGGTGTCCCAACAGGACGTCAATCCCAAACACACATCAGAAGTTATTTCAATAGATTAGACAATGCAGGTTTATGGATGAATGTATATAGTCTATAAATTGATTATTTATCTAGGATGGCCACAACCTTTACTCGACTGAAAATGTATGGATTACACATAAAAACTGTCTGTTGATGACAAAAAGTCAGTATAAAGCAAATTTATATCAGTAGCTTGTCAATGTAGTTTCTCTGCAAAACACAAAGGGACCTTTAGACAAATAATAATAGGTTTGCAAATATTTGAGCTTGAATGTATAACTTCGACTGTTTGGATTAAAGTAAATCTGTAACAAATTCAATCTTGTGCCACTAATTCCTGCTTTCAAGGCCCATTAAATTAGTTGTTTTAAAGTGCTAAAAGAAGAGTTCAAACACTTTATTAAAAGCTCAAAAGGGATATGCAAATCAGGCTCATTTATCAAACTCTCACCCCCGCACAAACTCAGCAGATGCAAAGCGCGTCGCTTGAGAAGAGATGTTCATCAAATTCAATGCACTCGTTGTACAATGAGCCTTTATAAAAGTTTTACTTTTTGAAATGAGTGACAAAGAATACTGAATTTCTTTGCAAAATTGTAACTTTTTGAGACGTACTGGTACTTTATTATGACAAGACAGTATTAAAGAAGCTTAAATTTAAACTTCACTAAGTTTAATTTCCTTTTGTTCCAGATCATCTCACAAAACCTTTGATGTGCAAGTGTAACAAATTTGACAGGGGTGAATAATTTAGATTTCCACTGCTTTCCAACCAATTTTGTTTTTTTTTTAAATTGAGATTTTATTTATCTCTTCATGGCAGCTGGCCAGGAACATAATGTTCCCTGTAGTCTCCATCTAATCTAATCTCACTCCGCTTGGACAGCTCGTTAGTATCTGTCAGCACAGCCAAAACTGAAAATGACCCACGAGAGCCGAGGTGATGTCTTGGGAGAACGAGTAAAAGTGAATGTCGAGTTGTTTTGCAAGAGTTGCAAGTGTTGGATGGGAGCTCTGTCATTACATCAGCACTGAGAAACGCTTCTGAAAACATGGGGTGATTAAAAGATCCTCTTATCAAAGATTGTGAAGGGCTGTATTTTCATTTGCCTACTAATGTATTATCTAATAACTTTTGAGATTAGTCCTGAAGCTTTCAACCAATATATTTCAGTGTTTTTTTCATCATCTCCTGCTGATCAGATGTGAGCCACTCTGACTGCATCATAAAAGTGATGCTACTTCAACCAGCCCTCATATCTGAAACGTACCAAAAGAACACCAGTATCCATGGAGCCAGACAGAACCATCTTCCTGCGTGCATTGTATGCAGAAAGAAAAAAAGAAAAAAAAAAAACCTTCTTTCTCACTAAAATCCCACGACATTACATCATTTCAGGGTGTGGGAACTGTGGCATTTAATCAAAATAGCCTTCTCATGACCTCATTTTTGGGTAGATCTTCCTCTTCGATACCACATGAACAGTATCAGGATGACTTCATTCATGAGGAAAGCGCATTTCAAACAAACAGAATTTTTCTATTTGTTT